ATACATTCTCTGGTGGACCTTTTCAATTCAATTCCAGTCAAAAAAAAAACTCATCTCCAAAACTAGAAACTCAGCATTTGAATAACTCAATAACGCGGGACATCGGCGTACTGCTTATTAGTATCTGATGCTGTACAATATAATTAATTATAATGAATGATTGCTCTCTGAATGGGACTCTGTCCTGCTTCAAAGATGCTAAGTGAGCGTTTTGTGTGACTGAAATACCTCCTGGAATTGTACGGTTTCCGCGGGGAAAACACAGGGAGTTGTTTTTTTCATTTAATTCTGGGAGCCCTTATGTTTCCCATGAAGTCATGGGAGAAAGAAAGTCCAAGCTGTTTCACTTCTAAGGTTATACGTGTCAAAACAAAATAAAACAATTCATGTTTTCACACAATGTCAAAGCAGAAAGACATCATCAATAACTTTACCACCATACCACTTTATTTATAGAGCACTTAAAACAGCGACAAGGCCAACCAAAGTGCTGTACAGACAAAACAACAGGTAACACACAAAGCAAAATACAAAATGAGGTAAATCAGAATATAGACATAAAAACGATGCAGATAATGACGACTAACCAGTGTGGAGCATACAGGATCAAAACACAGATCATCTGGTGTTGAAAGCTACTGAATAGTAGTGAGTTTTTAAACGGGACTTGAAAACCGAGAGGGAGGGGGCCTGTCTGACAAGCAGAGGTAACTCGTTCCAGAGTCTTGGTCCTGCTACAGAGAAGGCCCTGTCACCTATGCGCTTAAGACGAGTTCCTGGAACTGTGAGGAGCAACTGGTCCGCTGACCTCAGGGAGCGTGGTGGGACATACGGTTGTAGCAAGACCAGAGAGAGGGGGGGGGGGTGAAACTGTTCAGTGATTTGTAGACATACATCAGTATTTTGAACTGGATTCGAAAGTGAACCGGTAACCAGTGCAGGGAGGCCAAAACTGGTGTAATGTGCTCTCTTTTGCCTGTACTGGTTAAAAATCAGGCTGCTGCATTCTGGACAAGTTGTAGTCTTGCAATGGAGTTCTGACTGATACCAAACAGGAGTGAATTGCAGTAATCAAACCTAGATGTAATGAATACATGTATTACTGTCTCCAGGTTATTTTTGGACAATATGGGCTTCAGTTTAGACAGCCGCCTCAGTTGGAAGAAACGTGATTTAACAATCATGTGTACATGATTGTTAAGCTTCAGGGAAGGGTTCATTATCACTCCCAGATTAGTGACTCTGTTTTTCTGACAGGGTTAGAGCAGAGAGGTCGATGCAGTGGTTTGTGATAGTGTCGTTGGGAGGGAACAACATGACTTCAGACTTCTATTCATTGAAACTTAAGAAGTTTAAAGCCATCCAGTCCCTGATGTCAGCCAGGCAGTCGAGCAGCGGTTGAATAGAGCATGCACCATTGTGTCTTAGGGGGAAGTAAATTTGACAGTCATTGGCATAGAAGTGGAAGGGCATGCTGTGTTTCCGGAAAATAGCACCAAGCGGCAGCAGGTATAAAGAGAATAGGAGGGGACCCAGGATGGACCCCTGCGGAACCCCCCATTTAAGCTCTGCCTCTGCATCTTCTTAAAAAATTGCATCTTCTTAAAAATGAAAACTTAAGCTGTCCAGCAGCTAAAACTTGTTCCAAATTGAGTCATGCTGCAGGAAGATTATCAGCAATTTAACAAGAGAATGGCTAAAATCTGACTAATATGTACAATGATCCAGTGAAAGTCCAGACATTAATACAATTGAAATGAATATCTGCAAACCTCACTGAACTGAGACAACATTGTAATGAAGAGTGGGCCGTTATGGCTTCTTTGCATTATAAATACCATGACGGAATATGTTATGTATTTTGTTTACCTGGTCATTTTTATTGTACATTTGTATGCTGGATTAGTGAACATTAAACCCCCAATCTTTCTTTTCTGCTAGTCTCCACCTGGGAAGGTCTCGGAGGCAGTGAAAGCAGCCATTTTGGCTGGTTACAGACACATTGATGGGGCGTTCGTCTATCAGAACGAGACGGAGGTGGGTGAGGGGGTCAACGCCATGATCAAGGATGGAGTGGTGAAGAGGGAAGATCTCTTCATTGTCAGTAAGGTAACTTATAAAGCAAAGTACACCGGCAGTAAACCAACCGAGTTACGCAGTAAAAGTGGCCTGCTTGGATTAAATATTCAACATGTTTATGCTGCTTTATTTTTTACAGCTGTGGTGCACTTTCCATGAGAAGCCCCTGGTACGGAAAGCCTGTGAGAAGACTCTCAGTGATCTCAACCTGGACTACTTAGACCTCTATCTAATGCACTGGCCCATGGGTTTTCAGGTGGGGGTACTACTTTGAACCTTTTCTTCATATTGACGTTACAGAAACCATCAAATGAAGCATGTCCAAATACTAAATGAGATTTTTGACTAATTTTTGTGCAACCTGTACCCCTTATTTCTGTACAACGTTTAGACTGATTTATTGTGGTTTTGTTATTTGTTCCTGTCCCTCAGTCTGGTGGTGATCTTTTTCCTTTGGACAGTAATGGAGAAACGATCCCTGATAATACTCACTTCCTGGAAACATGGGAGGTAAGTTTGTCAAACACCACTAATATCCGGGGTATAATTCAACTAAGTGGGTTTTATGACAGCTGTTTCAAGATGAAGGAACTACAGTACAGTGCATGTGACATGTTTTTGTTTGTACTTATTGTATGAACGTTTCTGAAGCATTCACCCTATTGAGATCCATTTTTCGTCCATGTGTTTTTCAGCATTTTTCTCGTTTCACCATTTTTGGGCTATTTCAACAAATCATATATCAAAATGTTCAGCTCATTAGAGAAGGGTGCTATGACTTTTGGTACTGGTGCAACTTTAGCTTTTTGAAATATTTAGCCATTTCTTTTCTCATAGAATATGAATTGAGCTCATTTTACATCCTTTAAATCTTTAGATCTGTTTACAACCTTTTACTGCTCCTTTCACATTTTGTTCAGCTTCAGCTTATTTGTGCAAATGTTAACTTTTTTCAGCTACTTTCAGCTAATTTAAGTTGTTTTTTTTTTTCAGCTGTTTTATGCTCATTTCTGATTCTTTCTGCTAACTACATTTGTGTGCTTCTAACTTCTTTCTGCTCCTTTCAGCTTATTTCTGCAAGTTTCACTTTTTCTGCTATTTTAGCTACTATTTAGCTATTTTATGCTAATTTTAGCCTTTTTGGTTAATTCCAAATTGTTTGCACTCGTTTCATCTTTAAGCCTAATTCAGCAAAAATGTGCTTTCCCCACTTCCTTTTGGAAATGTCAGCTGCTTTCTGCTGTTTTAGCTTCTTTTCAGCTTGTGCTTTCCCCACTTCCTTTTGGAAATGTCAGCTGCTTTCTGCTGTTTTAGCTACTTTTCAGCTTTTTTTTTTTTTCTTCTAATTTCAGCGTTTTTCAGATAATTTCCATTTTTTTGTGTTCATTTTTGCTTCTTTCAGTAAACGTGTTCTTTCTGCTTTCTTTTGCTAATTTAAGCTTGTTCTACTGTTTCAGCTTTTTTTTAGCATTTTTATCTAATTTCAGCTGTCTTCAGATAAATTCAAGTTTTTCATAGTAATTTCTGCTACTTTCAGCCTAATTAACTTATTTCTGTTAATTTCAGCTTGTTATGCTCCTTTCAAATGTTTTGTACTAGTTTCAGCTTTTTCTGCAACATTTTTCATGTTTCAGTAAAAACCTACATAAAGCGACTTTTATCAGACCATCTCAGATTTTGATATTTTTCCAGTAGAGCTACAGTAAATGTCCTGTTTAAAACCTTGAAGACCTATAAACAAAAACCACAAGCTTTCTGAATATATTTGCTTTTACCATTACAGAAACAGATACATTTTTTTTTTCCTGTTTTGTTCTGAAAACATTTTAAAACCTGTTACCAAAATTGGAGTTCAGAGGTTTAGGACAAAATATTAAAATCTTTGTTTATTAAAATATAAAGAAAAACTTTAAAATGCTGTTACTTAATAAAAAGAGTCTTCAGTGGCATGTGTAGGAAACAGTTTGGATTTTGTCTAAACATCTAAGTGACATGAAGCCTTTTAGTTTAAGAATAAACTGTAACAACGTAAACAACGTGTGTTTTGTGCTTTTCAGGGATTGGAAGAGCTCGTTGACGCTGGTTTGGTCAAAGCTATCGGCATCTCTAACTTCAACAAGGACCAGATTGAAGCCCTTCTCAACAAGCCAGGCCTTAAGTACAAGCCTGCCAATAACCAGGTACACTCAGGTTCTTGTTCTACCTTTTTATGGAAGAGTTAGATGTTTAAGGGGCATTGTAGAGCAGCAAAGCTAATAAAAATCCTAGAGGGTAAGAGTAATGGTATTATCTGTCTCCTCCAGTCTGTGCTGAGATATAAATGAGCCGCGTCAGTTCCTCCTCCAGCCAATCCAATAAGCCGAGCTGACCTTATATCTTGTTCGTGTTCTGAGCCATCGTTTACAATCAGTGTCCTGCTTCTTCGTCTGGTTGTGTCTTTTATGAGATTAGGGCACAATTTTCCTTCTGCCTTTTATTATTACACACTCGGAACAAAGAACAAAGTAGTCTTGTGTTCATGTAAGCATCAATATAGACTCATTTTTAGGTGTTTTGTTGCACCTTTCTTGAAAAAATGTGTAAAACTATGTACCATACTTTCCGCCGTACACGTCGCATCAGTCCAAAAATGTCTAATAAAGTGGAAAATTAGGGGTGCACCGAATGCAGTTTTCTGGCCGATCACAGATTTCTGAAAAGTCTGACCTGCCGATACCGATTTTGTTTTATAAGCGACACTGTCAGGTGTTATGAGGTCACAATGCACCTTCAATTTTCCAATGCTATTATTTTTTAAAAACATACCTTGAACAATATCCTAGAAACAAGACAAACATGTTTTAACTGGCCATGAGATAGTGCTCTGAAATATAAAGGAAGTTCAGACAGTTGTTGTTAAAACTAAAAAAAATCAGTAAAATCGGTTTGTCATGCAAGTATCGGCCTATTTCCGATTTCCTAAAATTAAGGAAATCGGGGCCGATAAATCGGCGAAACAAATATTAGTCGCTTTGGTGTATAAGTTGCAGGACTTGTAAATTTATGCATAAAGGTGCGATTTATATGTTGAAAAATACGGTATGCTATTTTTTTTTTTTTTTTTTTTTAGATCAACTCATGCTGTTTATGAAGCTGCTTCTATTTTTTCCCTTTTAGATTGAGTGCCACCCATATCTGACCCAGGAGAAGCTGATCAACTACTGCCACTCTCAGGGCATCACAGTGACAGCTTACAGCCCTCTCGGGTCCCCAGACAGACCCTGGTATGTTCGTAGTGTCATTTCAGTGTTTATCAGTGCTGTTCTGCCACCCATCGTGCATGCTTTGTGCAACGGAGTGAGGTAGTAACAGAGCTGAAACAGTTGACACGTGAAGTGACAAAAAGTGACGCTCTTCTAAAAATGAATTATCCACTGTGGGCCTGTTTTTAGTGCATCTCTCTGTGTGATGTTTGGTTTGAAGATATTTGTGTGTGACCACCAAACAACAACAGCCAGATTTATTACAGAGGGAAAGTCGATGCACTTGGTGTTTAGTTTACACACCACAGAGGGAATCACTTTGAGTTTTACTTCATATCACATTTATTGTCTCTTTTGGTTCTGTGGTACTCGGTTCAAAAAGTTAGAATTAAAGGAAAAGCTTGTGAACGGCACATGACTTAATCTTCTGTAAAACTAACCAAAACAGTGTTCTAGTTGGATTTGATTAGCTGATTTCTGCAGAAACTCTGGTTTTGTCTAATCGGTTGACAAGACAAAGCCTGGTCTTTCAGTTGTGGCCATAGAGCAGCGTGTGACTCTTAAGAAGATAAGTGAATAATTGTTTATTATTGCAGGGCTAAACCAGAAGACCCTTCACTTTTAGACAATCCTACCATTAAAGCCATCGCTGAGAAGCACAAGAAGACATCTGCTCAGGTAAACCATTTGCAGCTGTGTCCAGTAGAGAAAACCTGTGGTGGTTTCTTAGGACTGAATGCATGTTTCTTTATTTTATTTTATTCATACAGATCAGTAATGTTTTGATCAGAGATGTCATCGTGCTCTCTCATCCCCTGCCTGCTTTCTTTGCCAGGTCTTGATCCGCTTCCACATTCAGAGAAACGTGATTGCGATCCCTAAATCCATCACACCGCAGCGCATTCAGGAGAATTTCCAGGTAATTCAGAGCAAATGTTGTTGTTTTTTATTTCTCCTCATAAACTCTTTAACCCAGGGGTTCTCAAACTTTTTGGGTTCAGAGACTCCTTACAGGGGAGAAAAAGTTTCAGGTACCCCCCTCATAACCCTCATGTTTATTAAATAATTTTCTTCAATTTGTCTCTTTAATGCATTGGAAATATTTGTAATGTGCATTTTTTCATTCAACCTTTATTTAAACAGATAAATCACATTGAGCCTCAAAGACTCATTTACAAGTGAGACCTGTTTGGACAAACAAAAACAGTGGTTAACTGGACACATGTAGGAGTTGGAGGCGAAAAAAAATCCCATCAGACTTTTTTTTTTTTTTTACTGCCTGAGGAAAAAAAAACTCTAATATAAAAAAAAAAAATACCTCGCACAAACAAGCACATAGTAACGTAGACGTTCTGCAGACGGAGGAGACGAGATCGGTTAGCGATGTTCATAGATGCTCTCGAGGTCACTGTAAGAGTTCTGATAAGGATGTCAATGTCCTCAGATGAGATCCATAAACATTCTCGAGGTATGTCGAGGAATGGCCAAGAGTAACGTCTATGAGAATCCAAGAGTCCTGAAATGATGACACAAAGTCTATTCAGCTGGTTCCATCTGGTTATCAGTTGGAAATTCCTCAGGGAGGGGGTGGTGAGCGTCAGATCACATGTTCTCCAGGCGAATTCAGATAAGGTGGCCTTCAAGGCCAGCCAAGGGGGCCAACTTCAGATAAACACACAGATGTTTTGGGGACAGGCAGAACTTAATGACATCTACCTTGAGTCTGTGATGGTCCACTCTGTTCCGAAACGTCCAAAATACATGGCCACATCGATGGAGCGTGACTGAGTAAAATCCCCAAGATCTGATCCATTCAGCCCAAAGCATTTGAGTCTGGGTACTCGAGACACGAGCCAAGCCATCATAAAGGCCAGCAGCGTGATCGGGTCCAAATTTGCTGCCGACGACTTCCTTGATTGTAGATAAAACCAGCAACCATCCGAATCCAAAAAGCAGGAACCAGTTATCGTACATCCAATTAAATATGCGTCCTTAAAATCCACAGATGGCAGCAGAGATAGACACATCAAGTCTTCCAGTAGATGAGATATCCAGCTGCGTGCGTGCCAACAGGGCAAATCAACCTGCCTAAAGCCTGTCTTCTCTTTGAAGAAATGTTGTAAATTGAGTTGAGGAACCAACTGATCAAAACGAGTCCATAATTATGGTTCGGAGGAAATGCAAGAGAGTCTCACAGCAGTTTCACAGACAGACGGAGCGCAAAGCAGAGAGGGAGGAGAGAAGCATCTGATCTCGGCGAGAGCAAGTGGTGAAGTGATACTTGAAGTGAATACTTGAGACCTGTTCTTTAATAGTGTTAATACAATTTTTACACTTTTTACCACATGAGGTATTTTTCATTCGACACACTTTAATTAGCAAAATCTTTAATGTGAACTTCCACAAATTACATGTTTGAGAAAATTAACAGTATCAAAAACCAAAGTCCATGCTCAATAATCCAGGTATACAATCCAACATTTTTCAGTCAGGTCATCTGGACAGTTTCTTTTTTTTTTTTTTTGTGCTGAAACGTTTCGCCTTCGATCCAGAAGGCTTCATCAGTCAATCAAAAACCACTTTAAAACTTTACCTATTCACATAATGAACATAATAAATAGGGATGCATAATATGGTCTTTGTCCGTGTGGCCTGCTACCAAATGCAGATGTCAAAAAGGAGGCTGAAAATGATGTAACACTTCAACTTTGATTATGTTTAATGTCAGATTTATTCATGACATTTACTCTAAAACAATGACAACGCTCGAACAGTCATATAAAAACTATATATATATATATATATATATATATATATATATTAGGGCTTTAACAGACTACTCAAGTAATCGACACTTTGATTCCTAGGACATCTATCGAGTTTTTTAATTTCTCGTCGAGTATTCGTGGTGACGTCGTTACGTCATTGCGTCACTTGATCCGCACCGGGTGCGGGTTACAAAATGGATTCCTCAGATGGAGCGGAGCAGGCCCGGTCTTGGCAAACGGGTAGAAATGCATCAATAGTCTGGAAATATTTCACTAAAGATGAATCTTCCGGTTCAACTACCGTAAGGAAACAGAAAATGACTCAACTTCCTGACTGTTTGGAGCTCGTTGCGAACCGGTGTTATACCATATTTTGTGACCGTAGGGGGTGGTGTTGCATGCACTGTTGCAGGTCACAGAATGTGGTGTAACACCAGGTCCAATCCACCGAACCAGAACGAGCTTCCTCTGACCTTGTTTCACAAACAAAAAGCAAAAAATATTAATCTCTAAACCTATAAAAAACCTATAAACATTTTAATCTCAAAAACTAAACCTAATGCGCACCACAGCTGGCGGTGGTGCAGGGTGGTCGTCCGCCCCACTGTTTTTAGTTTCGTTTTTGAAGTGCTGCACATTTCTTTCACTTCGGCAGTTTAATAACAAAAACTAATAGTTTAGTTTTTCCTGTGACTTATTTGCAGTATGATAAATGGTAGGAACATAATATACGCTCCCGATGTTTTGTTGGTCTTTTTTTGTAAATAATGACCTTTTTTGCATTTATTTATTTATGCATCTTTAGATCCTATGATGTCATCAAGTACTCAACTTCTACTCGAGTTTTATTATGTTAATGTCGAGTTTAAAAATTATGTAGTCTTTCAACCCCTAATATATTTATGTAACAGCGCCTTTTTATATTCGTGAGTTATTTTAATGTGTCCGATATTTAACTTTATTGCCAATATCGGCTGATGCGATACATTCCGATAATATCGTGCATCCCTAATAATAAATGTATTTCCACTTCTTCATATTATTACAGAAAACTTACATAAAACTGAACAGAATCATAACAGGAGTAGTCGTACCAAGTAACAGGGCTTAATTTGTAAACCGATCAATGCTAGAATGCAAATGGGTCTGGGGGTCCTTCCCCAGAAAATTTTGAATAAAGTAGAAGTGATTTCCTGCATTTTAGTGTATTTTATCGGGTTACATGCTTGTAAAAAAATTATTATATATTTTTGGCGGCCCCCCAAGCACTGGCTCGCAGACCCCCGGGGGGTCCAGGGACCCCAGTTTGAGAACCACTGCCTGCAGTCAGCTTTACCAACGCAGCTTTTTTTGTTTATCCATTAAAACGTTTGTGCAAATCATTGCAGGTGTTTGACTTTGAACTGACTGAAGAGGAAATGAAAACGATCTTAGGATTCAACAGGAACTGGAGAGCCTGTCCAATGCACTGGTAAAAACCCTTCATTGTGTTTTTATCATTTAAACTTGTGCACATTTGTTTAAATCTCCTTGTGTTTTTCGTTTTCAGGGGGATACATCACAAGGACTATCCATTCAACACTGAAATCTAAAATAAAATGCTCCGACGGTCCACAGGTGCTCAAGGTTCTCCAGATGCATTTCTGTCAGAGCTTTTAAGGAAATTTCATTTGAGCTCATTGTATATTTGTTCTGTTTTGTTGCGACTCAAATTTAGCTGCCGAAGCTTGTTTTTTTTTTTGTTTTGTTTTTTTACGGTGTTAATAAATGATGACTTTCACCTGCTTTTAACGTAACAGGTGTTTATGAGAGTAAAAACTGGAAAGATTGTAGCATTACATTTTGAAATAAGGAAAAATGTGTCTAAGATAAACTTTTCCAAATTATATGTCGTTATAGTTTTATAGAAGAAAATATGTGCTCCTTGTTTGCTTATTTTATATTAGGCAGAAAAATGAGGACTTTTGATTACATTATAAATGGTTTATTTTATTGCAAAATTCTAAACACACGCCTCCAAAATACAGAACATGTTTACATCAACCTCTGTGGCTGTGCACGGTCCTGTTAAAAAACACTTTGCTTTCACTTCCTGTTTTGTTTGTGTGTGAAGCGCTCCATTAAAATCCTGTGGGAGATTAAAACAAGCCTCTGCGTGTTTTCTAATGGCAAACAGAATAATCCAGTTAATAACTGTTTACAAAGATAAAAAGCTGTGACGAACCCGAACTGGTGCAGAGATTGAGAGTGGAACTGTTGATCGACGATATTAATATTTGTTTTTATATCTTGTTGGCAGGCAGAGGGAAATCTACTTTTAATAAACTGATATAAAATGTTCAAGTTATTTAAACACAAATAATTGCAGGTGACGGATGGAAAAGATTAAATGTGATCAACTGTGAGCTTCTAACGAGATTATTGATGGCCAAACAAGTAAGAAAAATAATTAACTTTCTTGTAATCTTAATGCTGCTGATTAAGTTTATTTTTTTATTAATTATATTTCTTTAAAAAAAGTTCAAATCTTTTAGAGTAGTGTTCTGTAGAAACGTGAGGAACGTTAGACATGTTGCCTTTGAACAAATGATTTGGAGGATTTTAGTTTATAAACACGTGACAAAAAGTTAGTTACTGTTCTGAGGCTCGTCTTGTACAAGTTCTTGCTGTTACTGGGAGTGCTGGTGTCTTTTGTACTTGGTGTGATCTCACCCTAAAGTACTAAAACAACTAGAGCTGACACCTCAACAAAGTTCAGTCAGGTCATCTGGGCGGTTTCTTTTTCTTTCTGAGATGTTTCGCCCTCCATCCAGAAGACTTCATCAGTCTGAGGAAGCACCAAACAAAACTGATTCTCCCCCAACAGCTTTCTCCAAAGTTGAAAAAACTTTGAACTGAACTTGAAGTTTTGAGCATGAACTTTGATGTTTTGAACCACTTTGGCAATGGCTGCCTCAGAGGAGTCACGGGGAGAGGGTGGCCCCCAGAAACCATCTTATCACCATCTAACTGGTTGGTTCACTATGGGAGTGTGCTGCTTGTGAGACTTGAGTTTGTTTGTGGCTCCTTAAATTGAAGAAGTCCTTTGAATGAAGGACAAAAGGTATCGACAAAAAAAACATCCCGAGGACGTGACTGAGCTTTGTTGGATTTTTTTACCTGTTACTGAGCATGAACTTTGATATAGAGCTGACGCTGATTCATCTACAGCTGAATTGTAGCTGTAATTGATTAATAATGTCCCTTTACTTCCATCCTGGACAGGTCAGTACTCTGATCCCACTCGTCTCTATGGACAGTTTGAATCTACATCGGTTCAACATTTAAATAGTTGGGCCAAGAGTTTGGTCCTGGAACCTTCGTGCTAAGAGGAGACGGTGCTAATTTCACTCCTACATTTGTGGTACTTTTTCCAACAGTTGCAAATGCATCATTTAGTCATTTGATAACAGATGTTGAATCATCTCTCCTAAAGTGTCAAAGCTGAAACGGTGCAGCTTTGGTTAGTACTTCATATAAAACTGGTTCGTTAGGATGCTTCGCCCAACATTAGAGAGGAATCAGCCTCTTAACGCTGGCGAGATCGTCCTGCCTGGAGGTTTCCCTTGATACAAAGAGGAGCACTTTGCGATGACCACCACGTTCCTCTGGTGGAACCTCATGTGAACCTGGATAAGACAAAGAGCCATTGTGAAGGTGGTCACATTTTTGGTGCTTCATCCCAATAAAATAAACCACAATGTGAATAATTTCCGTTGGTTTCAGATGTTTGTGTTTTTAATGCTACCATCTGACTAACACGTAGTTTTGTGTCCTTTCAAATGACGTGTGAATTTTGTGGTTTCATCGTGCACTGTTTGAGCTGCTTCTATCAAGTGGCTTCTTATCCAGTACATCTTGTGCAAGATTTTACTCTGTTTTTATAGTCACGGAACAAAATCAAGTATCAAATTTGTTTCTTTCAAGTCATGCTTAAGATTATTTAAAATGCATCATTTAAGAAAAAAATATCCATGAGGACTACGTTGGTTTTCTCGTGTTATTGTATTTTTTTTATGACAACAGAAATTGTTGGATTTTCTAGAAGGCACGGCTCATTAGAAGAAACCCTTTTATAAATTAGATTGTTTCTTGTGAAATAACAATTTTGAGTTATTTGTGGATGATGGATGTAGATTGTTTCAGCGGGGATGTAGGCTTGGGGTTCTCAAGCAAACGTGGAACTGGTGAAGGTTCTATGAGGTTCTTTAGTTGGTTTTTTTTTTTTTTTTTTAAAGTTACATTTTTGTTTTTTCTTTTATGGTTGGAGCTTAATTTCTATTTGGAAAACTATAAAATAATGAAATACAATATGGTCTGCTTTCAGATATCATGCCCCTCTCGCCATGGATAGAAAAGGTACGCCATACCTGGGAACCACAAAAACAAATGTTAACGAATGCATTGCATTTTTAAATTAAAATATCTTTTACAACAGCACATTGTAAATTAAATTAATACTTTTTCTGTAATTTTCTACAGAATAATTCACAAGTCTTGGTAAAAAGCGCCTTAAACCAGCTGTAATAGCACATCTGATGAACCCGGTAAGTTTTATTGACGAGTGGTTAAAGGTTTTAAAAACACTATGAATCGTTCACAGTTCACATCATATGAGAGGAGGCGCATGTCCTATCTGTCAAAAGGACATTTACAAGATGAACTACCACGAAACAGAACATTATAGATGGAAAGCCTTTATTTCTCGTCATCTTCATGTTCGTGGCTAACAGTTAATGACATTTAGAATAGTGTGATAAAGTTCTGTATTGAAAACTCGTGTGCTGCACAGACGAATCCTAGACAGCAGCTACAAATGTCAGGCCACTCCTGAGCTAGAGACATCAGAATCTGGATGAGAAGAAGAACTGGACTGTTGCTCAGTGGTCCAGCATCCTCTTTGCAGATGAAGGTAAATTTTGCATTTTGTTTGGAAATCAAGGTCCCAGCATCTGGAGGAAGAGTGGAGAGGACCAGAATCCATGTTACTTGAAGACCAGTATGAAGACAGTCTGTGATGGTTTGGTGCCATGCCCTCTGCAGGTTCTGGTCCACTGGGTTTCCTGAAGTCCTCAGTCCAGGTAAGATGCTTCTGACGTCTCTGGTTCAGGAGTGGCCTGACAAATTGTAGCTCATGTCTAGGATTCATCTGTGCACAGTGTGCACGAGTTCCCGAAATGGAACTTTATCACAATAATCTTAATTTTCTGAGACACTGAGTTTTGGTTGTTTAGCCATAATCATTAAAATTACAAGAAAGGGTCTGAAATATTCCACTGTGGGTTTCTATATAAAAAATTAGTTCTATTTCGTATAGGCTTCACCGTTTAAGGCCCTCGCTAGTGGGTTTTATCCCGTCACGTGAAGCGTAGCACTGAAAACTTTAGTCCTCGCCCACCTGTTGTGTGGGCCTCACCCGGTCAAGTCACATTTATTTATATAGCACATTTAAAACAGTAACTGTTATCAAAGTGCTTACCAAAAAAGATCACAGCATCAAATATTAATAACAAGATATTACAGCAACATGAATAAAAGCATCCATCCATCCATTATCTTTACCCGTTTATTCTATTTTGGGTCACGGGGGTCGCTGGTGCCCATGTCCAGCAGTCACTGTGCGAGGGGCGGGGTACACCCTGGACAGGTCGCAAGTCCATCACAGGGCCACATAGAGACAAACGAGACAAACAAACATTCACTCTCTCACTCACACCTAGGGACAATTTAGAGTTACCAATCAGCCTAACATGCATGTTTTTGGTCTGTGGGAGGAAACCGGAGCACCCGGAGAAAACCCACGCATGCACGGAGAGAACATGCAAACTCCACCCAGAAAGGCCCCTGGACCGGGGTTTGAACCAAGGACCTTCTCGCTGAGAGGCAGCAGCTCTACCAGTTGTGCCACCGTGCTGCCCTGAATAAAAGCATAAAAACATTAAATATAATGAGAAACAATGAAATACTAAAATCACCCTGTGTTAAATGTCATGGAGTAAAAGCAAAATGGATGAACACAATCATCAGCAACGAACAACAACAGTCCGTATAAATTACGTTGAGAGCGGGTAATCGGCTCCTATTTTTCTTCAGCAAGCAATCAGCACTGATCTTCACAAGAACGCGACATCCAGCACCAACACCATCCGCCTGTGCCCGTCCTGCAAGACCGGCTACATACTGAGATTCGACTGGCACGACACCTGCGAAGGATGCCTGGGTCCCCGCCATGTCGACCTCGCCTCCTCCTGCCGTCTCTTGTGACCTCCTCCCCCTTGAGAGGCAGAGGCGAGCAGCCTTGTTCAAGGCTGACGTCGAGAAGTGCCTCTCCGTGGCCGGGGACTGTTCGCTGGACGACGCCATCGCCTTTTTTTACGCCGAGTCTCGGAGTGAATCGGATGGTTCCTCCAGAACAGGCGACGTCAGCAGCAGCCCCGCTGCTCATTCCCTCCCGGAGAGCATAATGTTGGAACGCGGGGGTCTGAACGGATGCTCACTCCCCCTGGCCTTTCCGCGTCAGCGACCACACCGCTCCCAGCCATCGGTGCCCTCCTCGCGGAGCTGCCCGGTATAATCCAGGAGGCGGCTGACACGAAGGGACTTTCCGTCCCTCTCCTCCCCCCGCCCAGATCGGATGATCTAGCGGGAAGGTTTGGCTCCACCCCAGCTCGCCGCCCTGACCCCATCTGGCCTTGTTTCCCAGCAGTGATGTCCTATTGGAATGAGGCTGCGGCCGGACCTGGTAAACTGAAAGCGCCCATCTCCACCTTCGCTCCCATCACCAGAGTGGAGGGGTTTACTGAGCGGAATTTTCCCTCGATACCCCCCCTGGAGCCAAGCCTGGCGGAAGCACTCGGGGCAAAAGTGTCAAGGTTGGACCAGCGTCCTGTCCCTCCAGGGAGACACGACCAGACGGTGACGTTGCTCTCCAACCGAGCCCACCAGTGCGCATTCCAGGCAGCCGCAGCGAACAATAATGTTGCTCTGCTGGCCTACAGCATCTCCAAAAGGCTGGAGGACACAGACCTGCCTGAGGAGACAAAGGGCTCGCTCTGCAAAGCGTCTGACGTCATCCTCAATCTGTGCGCCTC